CCACCAGATGACACAAAGTCAACGCAAATCGACGACCAACATCCAACAGCTGAATAAAATCTCATCATCCTGACATCAATAACAAACACGAAATAGATATCATAACAATGATTAAGCAATAGCGACAATATCAATTAAACAATAATACCAACGGTCAAACAATGAATGAAGTCGAACAAAACGAATCAACAAAAGTACCTGCGCATCCGAGAAGGAATTCGCCCAATCGAGTACTAAACGCAACACAAAAATCCACGCTTGTCTATGTTGTTCTGAATTCAAATCCACATAGTACCTAATCGCTTCATCAAGTACTCTAAAAAAAGAAACTTCAAGATAATATGAACCGTAATTAATTCAATTTCTACACAGCACACATCGACGTATATGAACCATAAACGGCGTACACTTCGAACAGCCAATATAAAATCGTATTCAACACAAATTTCACACCACAGACTGCGTTCGTTACAAATTTCTGAATGCACTCATCGAGAATCGAAGTAGAAAAATGCGAAACTCAGCACACACACACCTGATCAAACGTTCACGAATATCTGACTTCTGCTGTTCGTCTGTGCGGTCAACATCGGTGTATATCCGAAACAGAATGCACAGCGCTGATCGCAAACTGTGCGTTTCTTGACGGAGTAGGTTCGGTTTACTTCTACCTGGAACGAATATTTCCAATTCTATAAGATCTATCAATGTTTTCTCATGAACACTCGTCCTTATTCACCAATCATATGAAGATTACTTATCATCCTTATGCATCATATCGTAAAAATTCGAAGAGATTACTGAAGAAAACGCACAAACCAATAAGTCAATTCAAGCACTATACAAACTCGCAGAAACGTTAACCTGACATCATTTCTACGTCAGATTTGTGGATGAACACTCAAGTTTTTTGAAAACACGAAAACGAATCTGAAAACATGAAAGTGATACCTTTGAAACCGGCTTTCCAAAGCAGTGTGCGTTGTGCGTTATTACCATTGAACTGCTTCGCTAGCGAATGTGAATCCAATAAACAGTCAACCAAACTCAACAACTGCTTCACATCTGCAAACAAAAAAACAAACCTTACAGAATCAACAAACCAAACATAACATAGAGACCAAAAAGACCTAAAATCTTTAACCAAAAATGTTTAACTGATTATCATTAACTTCGACAGATTTTCAACAACCAAAGTATAAAAGCTGATGATGATTTTCCAAAAATCCGCTTACACTAAAATGCAAAAAAGCACAAAAATAACTCCTCGATTCGATTCAATCAAAGAACCAACTCTTGCTGACCGATCGCTCAACAAAATCATAACACTCACCCATGCGCGAATAAAGACCGTCAATAGTGCTGTCGGCATTGTCCGAATAATCATTAATGCCGTACGATGACTCATTATTATTACTATTATTGTTGTTTTGCACGCTCGAAGAGCCATTCAAAATCGCATTTCGTTGCGGTGATACCGTTTGCAGATTCATTGTTGATGAAGCA